GATAAAGCACATACTTTTTGGTTTGCTTCCAATGATAACGCTTTACAAGAGTCTGACTTCAGTCCTGACAAAGATCAACTTGATAATGAAACTGACAACTTGAAAAACATGCAAGCGTTGCACCACAAAATGACTCTTGAAAGGTAATTAAATTTATTTTCCAATGAAAATAGCTGCCGAGGAAAGTAAACAAAATATTGATCAGTCTTTTTGTATGCATGTGTGATAAGTTGTGATATAGTTTATAAGAGTATGCCATATTTATGGAAGAGTCAATATGTCCAGATAGTATTAAAGAATTTAAAAAAATAAAGAAAAATTAAAATTAATATCCTTTTCTTTTTCTCCTTATGTTAGGTGGCATGACTTATGAAAATAAAAATAAATTTAAATTACTAACAAAATTCCTAACTATTAACAAATCATTTTCAAACAATTTTTTTTTTTAAATTCAAGGAAACTCCACTGCTTGACTGCTTTCAAAATAATAAAGAGTAAAGAGTTAAAAAAAAAAAAAAAAAAAAAAAAAAAAAAAAAAGAAAGAAAAATGAGAGTAAGGAGGAAGTTTTAAGACGCTTATACTTAGAATCATAAAGAGCCAACTGAAATTTCTAGGACATATAATGAGGAAAGACGGCCTGTAAAACTTTGACACTGACAGAAAGGACAAAAAAAGTAAACAGTAAATAATCTACCTAATGAGGCAATGTAAATGGATGGCAGAATAGGGAATAGGATAGATAATGAAAAAAGAAACCAAAGAGCTACAAAGGATAAGAAGTAGTGAAGAGCCATGATCGCTCACATCCTAAAGGGATACAGCACATAGAAGATATTTATGGAAGAGAAGTGCTCAATATCTGAAACAGTGTATGTAAATATAAACAGTGTTGACATACTGAGGCCTCATGATGACATTTAAGCATGAAACATTTACCATTCTGTGGTAACAGCTCTGGCCACAATATATATATATATATATATATATATATTATATTATATTATATTATATATATTATATATATTTATTAGTAGTAATCTTATAAGTATAAGAAATTATACTCGTTCGGAAAACCTTCAGTGTTTTGATTTGCAAAGAATCAAACCAATGCCAAGGGGGGAAAAAAGGTATAAAAAAAACAAGAAAGAAAGAACCAAGAACATGTATGTTAGCCGAAAATAATCATCTAGCATTCAAGTTTAAAGCCTAAAGAAAAAAAAAAACGATATGAGTAAGCAAAATAACTGAATAAAGTGCTCAATACAGTAAGTAGAGCAGACCTAGTTAAACCTAGAGAGCAAGACAAACCTACCAAGGTTTCACTATATATATATATATATATATATATATATATATATATAATAAATGTGAATGTCGGTGTGTCAAACATTTTCAACTTTACTCATAGAGGCTGTAGTTCAATATATCATACCATTTTGGAATCAGAGTGAATCCATCAACAAATTAAAAACATTCTGGGCCAGATCCAGATCCACAATCCTGAAATTTTGAATTCCCGAGTTTCCATTACTCAGACTGGTTTCCAGTGATTTTTTTTTTTAACATCAATTTTGGGACAAATTTTTTTGGTGCGATAACTTTTATAACCTAGAAATAAATTTAGGAATAATTAAAACTGCGAAATCCAGCAAAAGTCACCCATGAAATAAAAATTGTTTGTACAGAAAGTAAGGACCGACAAACATCAAATTGTCTTTAAATAAAGTGGCAGCAGCAGAATTAACATTGAACTTTTAACAGGTAAGTTTAAATATTAATGCAATACTTAAATGCTGCAATCAATTTTGAGTTCTTTTGTAGCTTATTATTGCCTATCGCATCTACTCCTCCCTACCTACTGTGATGATGGCCCAATGAAGAGCCCACTGGGGTTTTTAGGCTAGTATATGTGTGTGCCTCATTGAATATGACAGACAAGGAAAATTTTATAAAATTTTCTGTATTTTTTTAATATTTAGTTTTTCTAAGGTTCCTAGTTTTTCTTTTATAGGAATGTAGAAACTGACAGTAATGATTATTATCCTAAGCACTTTTGGACAATTCATTAGCAATTTTCTAGGGTTTGTTGCTAAATTATTAAATAGCTCAATTTACTACCCAGCACAAGTAAAATTCAAAGAAAAGCCAGGATTGCGGCCAAAGGATCTGAAGAAAAATGTTTAAATAAAATACAGAAAACATCTACTTGTGTAAAGCAATCTCTTGGATTTATTTTATCTATTACTAGCAGCATGACCCGGCATTGCCCGTGCTTGATTAAAAAATCGTACGACTCATACAGCAATCGCGATCACTTGACTTAAAATATTTTTGCCCTTCCTTGCCTTTAAAGGAGTGCCCTTTGCAGTGTTGATGTTGCTACATGCCTTACTTCTTGCCTATCTCACACTGTGAATTTTTTCTAAGCTCTATACTAAACATTAAATCTGTTACGAAAAAAGAACTAAACAAAATGAACACAAAACGATCAGCTTTAAAAAGGACTCCGTAACTGGAAAAACCGAATGAAAAACGAATGTTAACAGCAAACACTTTTTCATACCCAACCCAGTTCTGCGGAATCAGAATCAACGTTGAGTTTAAGCAAGCGAATGAGCCAATTGGAGTAAAGTGCCATGCAGATTTAAATTTTGTGACGAATGCAGCTATCGATTTTTTTGCATGCTAGTTAACATTCGTGTCAGTCAGCTGTTGGCCCTCACGCTGACCAATAGAATCTTCCAACCTATTTGTGGCAGCCAGTTATAGGCTCTCACTCTGGCCAGTACAAAATGGCAGCACACTACATGAAAACTGCCGTAGAAGCATGAAAAAAAAATCAATTATTTCCACTATCGATGGGAGTTGGGAAATGCAAAGTCGGTCTTGGCCTTCCCGCTAACTTGGAGCATGTGCATGTAAATTTTGGTGCAAATTTGTTGAAAATTGCGGCCATGCATTCGTCACACACACACATCATGCCTTTTATAGATAGCACAAAGAAAGTGGTCAATCCATTCTTTAGATATTAAAGGGGCATTTTTGCAAGGGGAGCCAATCCAAAGACAAGTATACCTTTGACCACCAAAGGAGGCTAATATGCAAAAAATCTGGCTCTTAAATAAATGTGTTAATGGATTGATAAATGCATTCTTGAAGTGGTATGAAAAGGTGAAATACACTTTTGTGAAGATACTTGGTGATGGTGTATCTAAAGTAGATCCAACTGTATTTTTCATTTTCTGTTTTTAACTTTTTGGTTGGGTTACTTTCTTGATCAACATGATCTACTTAGTTTCTTCAATATCCTACGTTCATGCACTCGTGCATAGTAGCCTCCATATCTAATAAAGACTACCACACTATCCTGGCCAATGACCCAATCAGGTCCATGCTACTTATCTCTCAAAAAATATACTTTTTCACCAGTCAAAAGTTTTTTCTCCAGGGGGTCTTATCTGTTTATGAAAAGCTCACACCTTTTCAGATGATTCAGAGGTAATGAATGCTTTTTGAGCTTCATGCAAACCAGTCAAATGCTTTCCCATCATTTGATTAATTGTTTTTACATTAAAAAAGCTTTGTTTACTAAGACAGATAGGAGATTTGGATTTCTACTAAATACAATTTAGTATGGACTATATCCATGTACACTTAATGGGCAATTTTTAATGTTTAAAAGCCAATTTTAACCATGCACTGTTTTAGAGTGTGCTGCATTATATGCCTCCACTACAAACACAGACTGAGAAGACAAGACTTGTTAGAATATTTTTTTCTGTTTACATTCAAAGCTGCATTGTGTAGAAGCAGCAGTAATTCTAAGCTGTACTGGATGGGAGTAATACATTAAAGTGGCTAATGAATTGGCCAAAAGTGTTTGGGACAATAATCACTATAGACAGTTTCTATACTACTGTAAAGAAAAACCATAACAGACAAAAAAAAAAAAAAAATTAATTTTCCTTGTCCGTAATATCCAATGAAGCATGTATAGGAAAAAGATTGCTGCCTATATATATGTGTGTGTGTGTGTGTGTGTGTGTGTGTGTGTGTGTGTGTGAGAAAGTCAAAAGTGAATAAGGTCTCTATTGCTCTGATTCTCTACTATCCAAATTTCCCTCTCATTGATCATTAATTAGCTGTTTTCCCTATGCCTTCTCCTTGACCACATACAGTCTGACATCACCAAAAAACATCTCCATCATGAAACATTCCAGCTACACATTGTCTGCCACTACAGAGTGTTCCAAAGCTTCTTAAAAAAAAAAAAAAAACCTTACATGTAGACTATTTAATTGAAGAGGCATTTTCAGGGAATGTGTTTTCAGGTAATTATGCTCCAAGGCCAACCAGATGTAAATGATATCTGCAGATAAAGACCGATTTAAATCTAATTGAAAATATGCACTTTACCAAATACTCTTCATTTTGGAGTGTTTCCAGTTGAAAGGTGATTCAGTACAACTGGAATGTACTCATTGCTCTTTTTCAAGCAAGGAACCAATTGAACTATTTCAGATATCTCCCTTGGAGAAACCAATAATTACATACACCCTGGTCTTCCTGGCTATGCCGCCATGGAGAGGTCATTTAGTTTATACTAACAGAATTTGTCTAATACAAGGTGCAAAGTACAAGAAACCAAGAAATACACTGGTCAATAAATGAATTAAAGTTAGCCTCTTGCTATATCCAGTGTAGTAAGGGGGGGGTGAGAACGCAAATAGATGTCTATACTTCGATTCATTTTCTACGGCTTTGCAGGTTATTTAAAACCAAAAAATTTTAAATTTTAAGATTTTGGTGGGGGGGATAGAAAATAATGGTCTAGTGATACAAGTATTACTAATTAACCCATAGCTGGGAGAAGAAGAGGTATTCATACCTTTCCCAAGGGTATTTGCACGTAAGAATAATACAAACCCAGTAGGAATTGGAACTGTTCTTCGGTTAACAATTCCAAGCTATTATCTGTTATACAACCTGTACATCCAAGCTTACAGCACCTGGTATTCCTAAATGGTCACCCATCTAGGTACTGACTAGGTTCTATGTTGCTTAAGTTCAATGATCATGTGGGAACTAGTGTTTCAACATTGTATTGCCATAAGCCTTACAAACACTTTAGTTTTTAATGAGGCCACCTTAAAGATAAAAATGAGCCCGGGAGGGGGTATTGAAGCAACAATTATAAACTAAATTATATACTTTAAATCAGGGGTGGTCAAACCTTTTTCATGGAGACCCACATCATTCTTGACCCTATGCAAAGTGGGATATATCGCAATAACAATATAAATAACAATCATACACTCATGTTATTTGTGCATGTATTTGCTTATTACGTTTTGTGAACAGACTGCACAAATATATGAAAAATTAGTTTAATATTTAATACATCTGCTACTATTAATGAGATTTGTACATCTGATAAAAATTATTTTTATAATGATAAAAAATGATAAAATTTTGAGACATTTTTAGTAAAGCATAGAAGTGGCATACTACGTGCACAGAGGCACCTAGATCCCTATGTTGATTTACATAAGGTGGTATATTAATTTTGTAGGAAGTGAGAACAGCAGTTTGCGATTAAATATATAGTGTTTGTATCTGTCTTCATTCCAGGTTTTAATAGATGACTATTTTATACAACATGTAACCAAAAAAATACCCAAATTTGATCCCACACAGGCCACATGTGACACTGGCTGTGCTTTATCTAGCCTTGCTTTAAATCTTAATATGAAAATATTTATTAAAAAATTTTAAAAACTTTCTTATTGCTATTGATTATAATAATCTTATTTCCACTTTTTTTCTGATCAAGTTAAAATGTAAACATTTACCAACATTCAATCTTGATCAGGGTGTGGTAATGATGAGGGGGCTCAACTGGTTGACCATTACCCCTAAATAAGGAGTCCAGTCTTCACTCAGGGTCTTATACTAGTAATTTGTACCAAACTAGGCTCATATTACACCATAAATTACAACATTTGATGTTGGTCCTAATGGGACATTTTATATAATGTCCCAAGAAAATATTTGTTCGTAATATTAGTTGTTAATTTCTGAAAATAATCCCAGTTATTTGTTATATAATACTTTTGGGACATTTTTGAACCAGCTGTAAAAATTTTATTTTGTATTTAAAAATAAATATGTTGGATCAAAAGTGTAATGCTAATTGGAGGTCTCATGAATTCATTAATATAGAAATACACTGGATCGAAAGAGTAATGTTAATTTAAAGTATGAACTTATTAAAATAAAAATATTGTTTTAAATCAAAAGGTGTTAAACAATTTTAGCCTACACATGTGTAATTACAACATTATCCGTCATACTAAACAAAATTTATTAGGAATAAATGACAGAAAAAAGAAGTGTATAACTTACCTAACGAGTCTGTGGAAAGAGATTAGGATATAGAAAGGGCAGGAAATTGTGGAGAGCCATGATTGTTTATGTCCTAAAGGTATATGGCACATAGAAGAAACATCTACTCTAAAATGTTTATGAATTTTCCTAAGTTAAATTTATTAAAACAATGAAATATGTGTAGAATTTTTACCCTTAAATGGTAGCCATTTCCCTACAAGGAAATATTTGAGATTCATTGATCGAGCAGCCAGTATTGCTTTTGGTTGGAATTTCTAAAATCATTCTCAAAACAATTTATGAAAACAGGTTTCTCAAATCCAGTATCTGTTATTGCTCTTCCCAATATTGATGGGCAGGGTCGGGGGTGTTTAGTAGGGATATCTTCCTAAGCATTTATTTGAAATGGTGTGGAGCAAAAATAGAAATAAATGTAATACAACTGAATGTATTTCAGTTCTCCCAGTTAATTACTGATAGTCACCATCTTGGCTCCATTTGATAACAGAATGATACCCACTCAAGACACCAGTTCTAATACTTGGTTATTCATGTCCAAGATCTAGAGGTTCCCCCATCAGTCCTTAGAGTATTCCCATGAAGCAATTCATAAGGCAAAATAGTGTAGCATGCTACTGCAATAGACATTAAACCAATTTATATTGCTTGGACTATCATCATCATCTTTGTTGCCATATTTATCACATTTCAGCCATTGTACACTCCAGCCTTCTTCAGATGGTATTTATCAATCCACCCACGGGGATCGAATATGGCACAAGGCCTTTTTAATGTGGGTATCTCTGAGCCCGTAGGCCCAGCCAAAAATAAATAACCATCCAAACCCACCGAGGCGGGCCAGTTCCGTCAACCTCCCCCAACGAAACCCTACCCTTCGGCAGAGCTTCGTCCGGGTTCCTCTCTGCAAGCAGAGAGTTCGACAGACACCCGACCCGGCAGCTCACAAAGCAGATACTACACTTTCAGATGAACCCTTTATTTCACTCACTGGGGTAGACTGTTCTAGTTCCACATGCCATGTCTAATTGATGTCAGTTATCAGTTATCTCCTGTTAATTCCCCTCTCCAAGTTCTTCGCCGCCTTAACCAGGTATTGAACTCACACTCTTTGGGTCCTGTCACTGGATCTAACTATACCTCATCTCAGAAATATAGAGAGACATTGAACCAAATTCACACCAGACCATCAAAGCTGGATACATCAGGGAGATGACCTGGGGTCATTCCCAACCACCAAATGCAGAAGTAGCATATTTGGCTTTACATAAGACTAGTTTTTATTTTTAAATGTTAAAAAAAAAAAAAAAAAAAAATATAACCCTCCTGCCAAAAAAAAAAAACTGCCCAGTGCCTAATACAGATATATTGCAAGTGCTGTCCCAGTAGGCTAGGATATTGGATGAGTCTGTTAAGTATAAAAATTGTTACTAGTAATAAAAATAATGAAAACAAGCCAAATTATTATAGTGAATTGTGTTACTAATAATAAACTATGTATGGTAGTCTGTACTGTTTGCTGAAATACCATTTTCTGTTAGAATGCATTCAGTTTTTTTGTCTGTTGCATACTACTGATAATATTCAGTGAAATATTTTGCTTTATCTGCATGTACTATAATTATCTATAAGAATTCATTCATATTTATTGTACTTTACTGATTGCCTTATATCAGTTTGCTTCATTTATATGTACTAGTACTCCCTGATACAAATGTACCAGGATTTACTTTCCGCTTTAGCAAATTTAATTTCCATTGAAGGTTAAGTTACAATATATGATTTCATACTTTATTCTAGTCTACTGTTACAACATGGTATTTGCCCTACAAAACTATATTTAAAATATATTTCTATAGATATATGATGAAACAAACAGTTGTAATGGAATGTCCCACACTCTATATCGCCTATGTGGACTGACTATATCAGTAGACTATATGTAGATATACCTGCCAACTTGCTTTGGCAATTAATTGGAGATTCATGCTGTGCTGGTTGAACTCTCTGTCTTCAGGCAGAGAGGAACCCAAGTGGGGCTGTGTCGAAGGGCAGAGTGGCAGACAGCTACCTACAGAGAATTTTTGCCAGAGTTTTGACCCCGCATTAAAAACATCCTTGTGCCACATCCTGCTACACAGTTTAAGGTAAATATCCTTGCTTTGAGAATTAGTCTAAGTTGGAGATTCATCTCCAGCTGTACTGGTCAAACTCTCTGCCTCTGTGCAGAGAGGATGCCCAGATGAGGCTATGTCGAAAGGTGGAGCCTTGTTTTGGAGAAACAGCTACCCGACCCCATTTTATACAGGGAATTTTTGGCCAAGCCTATGGGTTCAGACACGCCACATTGAATTCAGCCTTATGCCACATCTCACCGTGTGGGACAGTTAGTAGATATCCTTGCTTCAGGACTAACTAGCCTGCTAACCAATTCCCTGTCTTTCAGTCATGTATTCTCTTTTACAATAAACATTTCTTTCATCTACGTGCATGTTGCTGTTCCTTTCACTCAAGTACCACCTTTGTCTGTAACCTTCTTTAAGGATACAACACAAACTAAAAAAATTTTTCCACAAAATATCCTTGTAAAATAGAAAGGGTATTTGAAAGTTAGGGTGCTTGTTATGCAAAGGTAACTATGATACATGACCTCACATCTGAATTGCATATTTGTTATATTCCGTGCTAATACTTAACACCAGGTGGATAATAGAAGAAAGGTTTATTGTACACAACTAGTACAATATGAAATACAGTACAGTTATACACACAGTTCAATCTAGTACTAAGTGCCACTAATTGGAAAGTCGGATGTGCTTGCGTCTTCTCTCTCTTCCTCCAGTCTCTCATAGACAGTTGACTTTATAGGCACTTACTACCTATAGTGTAATCTTTCATGGGGGTGACTGGTTATTCCATTACATCAATATTGTAAAGGAATGATAATGTTTTGCAGATGGATATATAAACAATCACTCCAGAGTTGATTAGGAACAATCTCTCAGACATCAGAGGAGAATGTAATGTCTTTATATCCAACAAGAATGTGGTACGAGTCCCTCAGACTAGCCAAGGGTAACTTACAAAATATTAAATAAAATGCTAAGTAGTGAGAATTCAAGTCTCATGTTATCATTTAATTAGTATCCCCATTTCATTGCAATAGCATGAAAAGCAAAGGAATTAACATTTATAAAGAAAAAATCTTTTTACATTTCCAAAAGTAAATTATTTACAATTAACACCGCTGCAATGATTGCAGAAGAGTATAGCTTTAATATTGAAAGGACATGTAGGTTTAGAGTAAGTTTTCAATGCTTCCAAAGAACTGTAGGATAAAAAAAAAAAAAAAAAAAAAAAAAAAAAAATTTAAGCTAAGCAGTCAAGCATACAGTTTTATTCTAAGACTTCCATATTAGACAAACCTCAATCTTTGATACCAAAGCAGACAGGGAAGAAAGTTATTTCAGAAGTCTGGGAATGCTCAAAATTTTTCCCATACAAATTAATGTTAATTGCTTACACCATTTCAGATAACAGGAGAAACCTGTACCAAAATAGGTCTTTTATAAAAGTGAAGTAATTTAACATGAACTAACTTTCAAAAAAAAAAAAAAAAAAAAAAAAAACTTGTACTGATGTATGTCTTTTATAAAAGTGGTGTCACAAAAACTTTTCAAAAGTTGTCGTACCTGTATTTATACT